TCCGGAGCAAATAGCGGCGCAAGAAGACCTAAAGGACGCGCTGCTCTCATCCCCCGCACTCCGCGCCATTAATTATGATTCCCCCTCTCCCGTCATTCTCGCAGTCGACACGTCGTTCATCGCCGTTGGATATCACCTCTGTCAGTGCGACGAAGCCAACACGCGAGTCCGTTACTACAGCAGGTTCGGCTCGATCACGCTCAACGATCGCGAACGAAGGTTTTCGCAGCCGAAGCTCGAGATTTACGGCCTGTTCCGCGCACTACGATCCCTTCGACTCTACCTGATCGGCGTCCGTAACCTCATCGTCGAAGTCGATGCTCGGTACATCAAGGGTATGCTGAAGAATCCGGACATAGCCCCGAGCGCGAGCATTAACCGGTGGATCGTCTCGATTCTCACATTCCATTTCATGCTAGTCCATGTCCCCGGTACAATGCATGGCCCCGACGGCCTCTCTCGATGCACAGCTCAGCCCGGTGATATCATCGAAGACGAGGTCGACGAAGAGTTCGACGATTGGATCGACCAGATGCATTCTTTCGTTCACCAGATTCAGCCCCTCCCGTCCGTTCCCTTGCTAGCCATCTTGGCCAATGACAGAGCCGAGGACGGCTCAGATTTCAATAAGGAGGAGGATAGCTACGAGCTAGTGCCTCGATCGGAGCAAGCGCAACTCGCCGACGCGAAGCTCGACGACGTGCTCGAATTTCATCGAACGTTAGCAAAGCCCGACGGCATCTCCGAAAGCGTTTACGAAGGATTCATCAAATACTGCATGCAATTCTTCCTCGACAACGACACCCTCTGGCGCAAGGACAGTCACGGAGCACACAAGCTAGTCGTCAAGCCCGGCGACCGCCTTCGAATACTTCGAGAATGCCACGACCGCACCGCGCATCGAGGAATCTACGCAACCCGAGCCTTCGTCAATGAGCGATTCTGGTGGCCGTTCCACTACGCCGACATCGCTTGGTTCGTTCGATCGTGTCATATCTGCCAGTCTCGACAAGTGCGTCAAATCCTCATTCCTCCGACCGTCGCAGTACCAGCCCCCATCTTCGCGAAAATTCACATCGACACAATGCACATGCCGGCCTCGGGCGGATACAAGTACTTGGTCCAAGGTAGATGCTCGCTCACGACTTACCCCGAGTTTCGAATGCTTCGAAAAGAGACAGCGAAGGCCCTCGCCGACTGGATCTTCGAAGACATCCTCTGTCGATGGGGCGCACTCAGTGAGATCGTCACCGACAACGGTACGGCGTTCATCAAGGCGGCCGATTACCTTTCGAAGAAGTACCACATCAACCATATTCGAATCAGTGGGTACAATTCGAGGGCGAACGGTCTCGTCGAGCGTCCGCATTTCAGCACGCGACAAGCCTTGTTCAAGACAGCCGACGGAGATGAGAAGAAATGGTCCCAAGCTGCGTATTTTGTATTTTGGTCCGAGCACATCACAACTCGACGACGCATGGGCTGCTCACCCTATTTCGCTGTTACGGGCACCCATCCGCTCATTCCTCTCGACATCGTCGAAGCTACGTATCTGCAACCACCACCGACTTCGATTCTTTCGACGACCGATCTCATCGCCCGAAGAGCCATTGCACTCCAGAAACGCGTCGAGCAAGTCACCGAACTCCACTCGAAGGTCTACGAAGCACGTCGGACTGCAGCAATTCGCTTCGAGAAAGAGCACGAGCACTCGATCCAGGATTTCGACTTCAAGCGCGGAGCCCTAGTGCTCATACGCAACACGAAGATCGAGAAGTCCCTCAACCGCAAGATGCGCCCGCGATATCTAGGCCCCCTCATCGTTGTCTCGCGCAACAAGGGCGGCGCGTACATCGTGTGCGAACTCGACGGTACAGTCCTCGATCGACCCATCGCAGCATTCCGCGTCATTCCGTATTTCGCGCGCAAATCCATTCCAATCCCCGAAGATCTCGAAGATGTCTCGACCGAGCGTCTTCGAGAACTCGAACTATCGAATTCTCTAGGCGACGACGACGATGATGAAGTCGAAGAAGCCGAAGAACGCGACGAATAGAGGTTCTTCCCTTTTATTACTGTTACAACACGATACGTACTTTCTTCTCTCCATTCCTGCTCTCACGTTACGCGATATGTTTGATTTTCTCCTATGTTCCAGACCATCCCTTGTACGAATAT